GGGGGGGTTGCTGGGGGGGCTTCCCAAGCTCTTCCTCCCAGGAACATTAACTAGTATCAAACTTAGGAGGGGTTACTGGAATCAAAAGTAGTTAGTTTGAGGTGCTCTTTGGATAACCAACCATCCATCCATCCATCCATCCATCCATCCATCCATCCATCCATCCCCCTACTGTCAGAATTTCGAAAAACAAAATCAGAAGAAAGGTCCAAGGAACTCTCTTTTTAAACGAATATAATTTATTGCCAAAGTCATATTAGACCCTAAAACAAACGGTAACACTAGTTAAGAAGGCTTGATGCTGAAAATGGTCCGAATTAGCTTCCAAATTATCCAAAGAACACCTTGAACAAACTCCATTTGATCCCAGGACTACCTCCTACTACTCGAAACAATTCTGAACTTTGTCCCATTTGGGCAAAAAGCCTTTGTCAAAGAGTCTATAAAGACTTTTGTATAGGGAGCTTAGTGTTAATTCAGGAAGCACCAGAAAGTAGTGCCTGCATTGTCTGAATGACATTCATGCATTTTACAATCATTGACAGATTGTCCGCTACCGCCTGAAAATGAAGGTCCAATCTCAAAAAAGTGATCTTCCATCACCCTAAACTCAAACGCCAATAATTTGGTTTTTGATTGAACGAAAAGCTCCACATTGGTTTATCCAGGTTCCTTTCAGTGAATGCTCTTGAAGCTCAGATTCTTGGAGAGTCCGTTAAAAGATCAGAGCCTTGTCTGCCGAATTTATCATCGCTACGCATCACTAGTCGCAATGACTTCCTTGACATGTATCTGGCTGAGCAGGTAGATTGGTCTATCACATCGACATCCTTTATCTCAAACTCTTAGTATGTGTCTTCTTGACTAAAACCAAGATAACCTTTTATTCCTTGCTACGTTTTTATCCAATTTCTTTCAAAATATATTTTCCTCCCACGGAATCTCATTTCCAGGTATGCTGTCACGTGTCTTTGATTTTATAATGATGTACCACGACTTGACCTGTTCCTGTTATAAGTGATGTCGACAGTGAACACCAGCCATTAACGTTAATAAGCAGAACTAGCTGCTTCAAACCAGTTAGCGCTATAAAGGAAGAGGATTCTCTGAAGGAACACTTTCTGTTTGTTCTTTTAATCACAAGTTAATAGAATATGTATCTGAACAAAGCTCATTTGTCAACACATGTTTTAGAGAGTCTCACAACAGCTCAATATAATGAGCGATTCCCGGTGGCAAGCAGCCGTTAAAACAAAAGGCTTGTCTTTTCGTAGGGTACATTACCAGATAATATGACGGTGGACAGAAGGCAGCCAGCGGGAAGAGTCGAGTCAATTAGGCGTGAATACAAACCTTCAGCCTGCATTTGAATACAATTAGAGAGAAACATGTTAAGCGAGTCTTGACCAAAGTCATAGGCGACCCTTCAACCAGCTGCACATCATTAGCTAGCAGTGTTTCGCCTCTGGTTCCTAGCATCGCTCGGATATGCTGCCCAACGCTGGCGGCATAGACGGACTAATTGCTCTTGAAATTGTCCAAAGAAGACGAAGAGAGAATGAGTGTGTCGTATTTCCACATGGCCTTGGTCGTCCTGAGGTGTCCATTCGTTCCTATTAGGTTCAGTTGCCAGCTAGCTGTGTGTGTGTGGCCAACAAAGAGTTCAGAGCATAGGGAGAGGTCAAAGCCGAGACAGATGTGAGAACAGGCTCTCTGACAAGAACCCCCATCACAACGCTCTGATGTCCATGCCGCCTTCGCTGTGTGACTTAGGTCACTTCACACCGTGGGAGTGTGTTCATGTACCTGAAGGTGTGTGTCTGACCGTGTGCAGTGTCACTCAGAGGCTATGGGGGATTTAGCCTTTGTAGTGTACTGCGCGGAGAAAGAGATAGACAGTGAAACAGCAAGATACCAGTCTGCATGTGAATCAGTTTACATGTGGCGTGCTTGCACATGCGCCCTTGGACATTGGAGAGTGGGATGCTGGGGTAGGCAAGAAAGGTCAGCAAAATCTGTGACATTATCACTCGAGTGCATTGCACTCAAAACAGGAAGTTGACATCTCCTTGTGTCTAGCAGACAAGGTCACACGTTCACAGGATGTTTATTTATTCCACAGGGTCGCAATGTCATAGACATTTGACAGACTTTTGACTTCATTGTGCTCCTCATGCAGGCGATTTATAAAATGTCCCTGCAACCAACAAAGGAGGACAAAAACAACTCTGTGCTGTTTATATGCCGGTCAATAAACAATCTTATGTTAACTGTAGAGTTAACCTGATTATTTAAAACCGTTTGGCTTCTCAATAAGAAGATTTGATTATTTGTTCAATCTTATTTTTTCTTAACTTGATTTGAGGGTGGCTCTTGTGGGAGGACCTTCCCCCATTTGCACAACATGTAAAATAAACGAAGTTAAAGATGATCTTGACTGATGGCATTATTAATATTTTTTTTTTTGTCCCGAAAATATTGTTTTTGTGAAAGTTTTTTTTCATGATCCCACACTTTGTGTTTCCCAATCCCAACCAAGAAAATGACC